CTATTTGGACTTTGGACTTTAGAAGTTAAGGCAACTACCATTACATTCAGACTGGGACTTTTGGGACAGCTGGGATGCTAAAGCGATCCCTCATCCATCGCCGTACGTGCCTGCAAATTAAACTCCTTTTGCCGTGTACAAAAATGTGTTTAGCATAAACTCGTACAATATAATTAACCAGAGGCCAAAAAGATTATGTTTTTGTGTGCAGAGAGCAGGACAGAGTGTTGATTAGCAGCTGGAGGACGTGCATTACTCAAATCTGAAAACCTCAATTTGGGTTCAGTTTGTTGCGTAGCTAGCTTTGACTGATGACTCTGGACGGCAGCTGATACGTGGCATGCAATTAGCTCCATCATTTTGGCGCTAATTTAGCGAAATGGACGCGTCAGTGACAGATTATATCGTAGCGCAACGCAATGACGGCACCAAACTAAAGAAAAATTTTTCAGAGCAATTTCGGCGTGATATTGATATGTGGTGTGCAATAAAGGCAGGAACAGTATGAGCTCTTGTAATTGCCTGCATACTTGTTTCTGAATTGTCACTGTTGCAATGTACAGGTATCATGGAAATGTCACGTCAGTGCATGCTGGTTGATTGTTTAAATCAAGTCCTAATCCAATCAGGATACCAAACAGTTACACTATTCAGTACCAAATCTGCATAGAAAACGGAAATTTTCACAGGATCCATGCAGATGCAGGGCGGCGTCGCACTCTTGCATGGAATTCATGTGTTTCAGACATGACATTATACCTGTCAGGATTAAATTGGAGAGAGCACATTGGTTAATTTCATGTTGCTCACTTAATGCAGTAGTACCTAATTGATTTAGCACTTGCCAATTGGAGTATAATTAGCGAGGAATCATCAAAATCATAATGCTAATACTGTCGAACACAATCTTGCGCCACAAGGGCAGATATCTCCGAGCGATTCCCATGCTATCCTCGCTTCGTTCTGCATCAGCTACAGTACAAGCGAGAACGCATCCGGATCAAATCTCCTAGCTCCGGCGGATCAAACAGTGAACACTTACCAACAAAAAGAAGCGATTTGATTAATGGAAACCTAAGTAGCAGAGCATCATATATCTAGATGAATTAACAAGAGCAGGGGCGGAATTAGCCATGGATGGGGACCCTGTCCCAACTTCCAGGCACATGTCTGTCACTTTCAGCAATCTTAATTTCGTATTTGCTGATCTATCTATCTATCAGAAATGGAATATAGATTTATTATATATTTTTCTTGGAATTTTTTGGAGACCTGGCTGCTCTGTTTGTGTGTCTGGTACGCACACGATGCAATATAGAATTGACTAAAGACGTCCTGAATAGTTGATATTCACGTTTTTCGCTTTGGTAGTTTGATGTAGACTTTTGTCTGCATCTGCAGAAGCCACAATTCAACTTGAAAGTGTTGCGCCGCATGCAGCTATATTAAGTTTTTCATATATATTTTTTAATTATTGTCCTCAATGTGTCGTCGATCAGAACCACTCGTTAGAAACTACAAACACTGTTTATAGATTCTTTACGGTTTTTATTTTTTTCGTAGAGTGTAGTTTATTGATTGGAACTACTATTATTATATACTCCATTCAGTATTAAAAACATACTACTACTGTTTTAGATATTCACAATATTTTAAAACAAATTTAAACAGTAGTATATGCATATTGCAGCATATTTATAAAAGGTGTACTTCTACAATGCTCTCTACTCGTGGCATAAACGATTTAACACAACTATCTGTATATACCAACTGTGGAAATGATCTATGAGAAAAGGAAAATGAGAAGATTGAGAAGATACGCAAAAAAGATAATGGAAATGACAAGATTGAGAAGATACGTAAAAAAATGAGCCATTAGCGTATGATTAATTGACTATTAATTATTTAAAACTTGATAAATGAATTGATATGATTTTTTAAATGCAACTTTTCTATATAATATTTTTAAAGGAAAAAGTATGAATTATCCCCCCGAACTATCACGGTCGATCGAATTACCCCCCTGAACCACAAAACCAGACATCCTTCACCCGAACTATGCAAACTGGACAAATAACCCATCTAGCTCAATCCACGGTGGTTTTGGTACTACATGGTAGTCCAGTTAGCAATTTCTTTTTTAAAAAAATCAACAGGCCCCACATGTTAGTTTCACCCTCTACCTCTCTCTATCCTATATCTTTCCCCAATCCGCCCCCCTCTCTTCTCCCTCACCTCAACTGCATCACTCACCGGCGGCGGCGAGCCAAGGACAACAGCGACGAAGCTGGGTGCAGCAAAGGGGGGTCAAGGACCGCGGCAGGCGGGGGTGGAGGCCGCGCGGATCCGGAAGGACGTTGCGGGCGGTTGGCACAGATGACGTGCTCCACCTCCGCCTCCACCGCAACCACCCGACCTCACTTCGTCTCCGCCATCAGCTTGCCAAGCTCGCTCCACGTCCGCCTCCACCATTGGCCACTCGAGCTACCGTTCGTCGAGGTAAGCTCTGCATGGATCCAGCCACCTCGAGGTTAAGCACGGTGCCACGGTGGTTAGGGGCGGAAACGGCAAAAAGAAGGTTGGGGACGGGGATGGAACAAGGGAGATTGGGGGTGTGGATGGTTCAGTAGAGATTGGGGGCAGGTGCGGCAATTTCGCAGAGGACACCGATGGATCTGCGCAGACAACGCGCTCCGCCTCCGCCTCCACCGTTGGTCACACGAGCTCGCCACCTCCACCGCGACCACCCGAGCTCGCTCCGCTACCGTCGGTGGCCTCCCGAGCTCACTCCACCTCTAGCCACTCGAGCTCGCTCTGCCGCCGCCACCGCTCGCCCGAGCGAGGTCCACCTATGCCACCGGCAACCTAAGCGCGCGCTCGCGAGAGAGAGGGGGGGTGTTGAGGGATATGTATGACACGTGGGCCCATGGAATTTTTTTATTTTCTGTGCTGACTAGATTGCAACGTTGACGCTACGTGTACACATTCAAGTCTAAACCACTAAGAATAGTGCTTATGGCGGGGGGGGGGGGGGGGTTATTTGTCCGGTATGAATACTTGAGGGTGTAAAATATATGTTTTTGTGGTGGGTGGGGGGGCGGGCTAATTCGATCGACTGTGATAGTTCAGAGGGGTAAATCGTATTTTATCCTTTAAAAAATAATGTTTAACAGTTCAGGAAGCATGTACTCATAAAAACGAGACAAATCTTCTCCCTTTAATTCCATCCTAAACAAACGTTATCATTGATTTATGATTTATGCGATGGGTAGAAAAACTATTTAAAAAAGTTCTATGGTTTGCCTTTGGCATGTGATCCATTACAAGAATCGTCATCTATTAATGTGGATTCAACGAAATGCCATCGAACACGTGCTTCTCTTCTCTTTCTTTTCCATCATTGTCTAGATTCATTAACATCAATATGGATGTGGAAAATGCTAAAATGACTTACATTGTGAAACGAAGGGAGTATATTTTACGAGACAATCATGGCTTACATACCCTTTCCATTCTAAAATATTTTAGCCTAGGACACGAATTAATCCTAGGATATGTTTCATTTGATCTTAAGTAGGACTTTCCTGATCCTCTACATATTCCCAAAACAGAGGAATGGAATTACCCCTACTTAAGCTTCCAAACAGGGCATTGACTGGTCCAGCAATTCCATGACGTTTCATTGTACCACCCCTCCATTTGGATGTAGGCACACAGCTAAGCTGCAAGCCTACATATAGCATGTCCAACTCAGTCATAATTTGTTGCGTTGCTATGACGACCGCGACGAACTTGCCTCGATCAGCTGTTCTGCTCATCTGCATTTCTGCATACAGGCACGCAGCCAGTTGTTTATTTGCAGAAATTCAGGTTTTTGGATTATTTCCAGTGCACGCATGGAAGTATAGCAATTAGGCCAAGCACCAGCCAAGATTTGCATGAGCCTGGCCAGTCTGTTGCACAGTTGCAGACTGCATGAGGATATGCACACCAGCTGTTCCTTGTTTTGGTGCACCAATTCTTACAGTCAAAACTCACCAAAATTTAAGCAGGGAGAAGTCTTCAGAAAGAAATACTGTACTACAACAAAGCTGTAAGCACACAAATTGGAACAGTTAGCAAGTACCACTCCCTCTGTTTTTAAACACCTGGTTATGCTATTACTTTATTATCATGCCGCACATTTCAGAAATTTATTAATTTTTCAACATTTACAAATTTATTAGCAGCTGAAATAATGCCAATGGTTGTCACTGCGTGACTTGTGAGACTAAGGGCATGTTTTGCACAACTTTAGCTCCAATTCTAGATTTCCTTAGCTGGAGCCTAACTAAATAATTTTAGCTCCACATAAAACATGAACAGAGTTGGGTGGAACGCTCCTACAAAATAAACTAGAGAGTTCACAGCTCCACTCTACCCAACTCCTGAAACTAAATTTATAAATTGGAGCTCTACAAGGACCTAAAATTAAGGGTGCCAACTATTAGAGAATGTTTTCGCGAACGCAACTAGTATTGAATGTAACAATCTCGACGATGTTTGGATGAACTAGCTGCTCTAAATTTAGAACTTGAAGCTCTACCAAGGCTCAAAATTACAACTGCTGTAGCCGTGCGACAACCAGGTCAGCCGAACTCCGCCCTCATTTCTCAAGCAGTACGGATCATACCTGAAATTTAAATATATAAAATAAATTCAAAAAACGGAGAATTCGCTACTTGACAGTTCACCCTTCGCTGTAACACCGTGAGTTTACTGCAACCATATTACCAGGAGCCAGCCTTGCAAACGCAAGAGAAAAGAGAGAGAGAAAAAAAAAACAAATTCAGCTCTATTCACCTCCGAACAAAACGCTACAGTTGCCTCTCCACTGTTGCTCGCTCAGCGCCAAACTAATCTCCCCGGTTATACCGCTCGCCGACATGTGGGCCCCACACCCCTCCCCCCCTTCTTCTCTTCTCCCTCCCCCCATATATAGCGAGCCAGCCTTCCTCTCCACCTTCCCAATCATAATCATCATCGCCTACTCCCTCTCTCTCTCTAAAACCTCGCTGTCTTTCTCTATCTAGCGGGTCGCGGTGAGTCGTCGTCGTCGTCGCCGGCGATGGGGAAGGGAGGCGGGCTGAGCAAGCTGAGGTGCATGATCAGGAGGTGGCACTCGTCGAGCCGCATCGCGCGGGCGCCGCCGTCGGCGGGGGAGCTGGAGGAGGGCTCTGCGGCGGCGGCGGGGAGGGCGGCGTCGTTCCACGGCGCGGACGAGGTGCCCAAGGGGCTCCACCCGGTGTACGTCGGCAAGTCGCGGCGGCGGTACCTCATCGCCGAGGAGCTCGTCGGCCACCCGCTGTTCCAGAACCTCGTCGACCGCACCGGCGGCGGCGGCGGCGGCGGCGCCGCGACCGTCGTCGGCTGCGAGGTCGTGCTGTTCGAGCACCTGCTCTGGATGCTGGAGAACGCCGACCCGCAGCCGGAGTCCCTCGACGAGCTCGTCGAGTACTACGCCTGCTGAGAAAGGCCGCCGCGCCGCGCCGCGCGGCTTACCTCCCCCCACCACCACCGGCCGTGACGGCGGCGGCGACGCGCCGGAGTTGGAAGCTTCCAGAAGCTGCGGTAAAATCTTTCGAAAAAAAAAATCTGTGTTTTGGTAGGGGTAGAAGTGAAATTTCGGACGCCGGGGTCGAAGTGAAGAGTACGAAGCGGCAGCTAGCGTTTTTTTTTTACTTAACCCCGGCGTCGGTGCTAATTGGGGAATTTACCATTTGTTACTGTGCTGTTAATTCTCTGATCGTTCATGTATTAGCTATTGGGTTTCTCATTATTTCTTTATTTTGCCCCAAAATAAGATCTATGGGCAAACATGCCCATCGGTCCAATGTACATTCCAGTGTAAAAAATTATCATGTAATTGCCGAGTTAATTTGTCACCTTCTGCTACATTGTGCTTAATAGAAGGCTTTCATTATAGGGTTGAGATTTTTTTTAGATAATGGAAACGGGTAATATCTCCGTCCTTTGCCCATATGCACATAGCCATAGGATTGAGAATGTTCTCTTTTTGTTCAATATAATCTGCCCTGTTTCGGTGCTGATATGCCATCACAAGGTGATAAGAGTTTACGATTTGTGGCATGTTGTCCTATACTACCTTCATGTAATTTCTCACTGAGTAGGAAATCTTAAAGTACTTGGATTTCACGTGGCAAATGATTAATATTAATTTTTTTTTGACCGTATTGCTTAACAAAAGAATTTCAAGGATATCAATCAAGGGCCTATTCACTTTGATATCATTTTCAACCTTACCAAATTTTGATAAAATTTTCAAAAAAAAAAGTGGCTATATTTAGTTTGCTACCAAATTTTAATAACTATATAAGAAATCCTGCTAAAATTTTGATAAGTTATCAAAATTTTGACAATATTTTTTTTAGCATCAAAGTGAACATGTCTCAAGTATTGGTCCATACATATCTTGTAAAGCAGGCATGTTATGTATTCTACTCTTTCCTTATTTCCCTTATAAAATCATATATAGAATTCCACTTCTACAGGTGTAGTTGAGAACTGACCTATACATTGCCGAGGTGATTTATCAGATATTACCTTATTTGTCGTCTTTTCACGTAACATAACTATTCATCTTATTTAAAATATTAGTATAAATATATAAAAATATAAGTTAGTATTGTAATTTCTTTGATGATAAAATAACTCATAAGAAAGTAAATAATATTTATATTTTCAAATAAAATGAATGATTAAATATTATTTAAAAAGTCCATATGGTCATACATGTTTATTGGAGGGACCATTTGGATGACGGCCACCTATACGAGTGTATGCCATTCTGTAGATTCATGATAGTAATCTTGTTTATTCTAACTTGATACTACTATCTTATATACCAGGATAAATCTCCTAAATAAAAAAAAGAGGTCCTTGTATGCTGCGTGCTGGTCATCGTAAGATTGGGTTGAATTGGAACAAAAATGCAAGTGACCTGATTTAGGACCTCTTTAAATCAAAGAATTTATGGAGAAATTTCCTATTTGTCCCTTTGAATCAAGGGTTAATTGGATCAATGCCACTACAAATATGTCAAATTAGAAAAATGTCACTGCTATTCACGATATTGGTTGGGTACCACTGCAATTTTAAGAAATTGGAGCGATGCCACTCCGTCGCGTTTTCTATCCACTCCCCGTTAATGTAGTCAATTAGTGTTATATTATAATCCTCTGATTTTTCCAATTCCTTAATTTTTATCGTTCTTATGATTCAAAGGGGCGTTAACCAAAGAGAGTGAAGACACTATACGCACTATATATCCAAGTGAGATCTAGCGCAGTTGTTATTGTGACTGCACAATAATAACTACTATTCGTTCCGCGGTTCAAGGTCATTGCTACAGTAACATCTGAACATCACTCAAGGTTACAGTGTTTTTGCTAGCTACAGTAGCCAAACGCGTCTTCACCCTTCGTGTCAGATCCTATGACGTGCTACTATACAGTAGCCAAACGCATCTGCGCCCTTCGTTTTAGATCCTATGATGCACGTTTGTCTGCTTAATTTGCAGTTACAGATACTACCAACGAATCACCAAGTTCACAGGAACTGGATCCGGCACTATCACGCTCTTGGTTTCTCCAATGACCACAATGGTACTTGTGCACGTAAGAATCTGATTGACTAAAGATACCATGAATCGCTGGTACATGACATTTTGATGTTGACCTGCGTCTACGAAGAAATTTGTCATTTTTTCCCTGCGTCTACAAAGAAATTTAAGTTTACTTTTTTGTGCTGTGTAAATATTAGGGATACGTCCATTTTACAACCATCCCATAATATAAGACACGCACGCTTTTAAGATTTAACTTTTAAAATATTTGATCAACAATTTATACAGTAGGAATTAAATTTTATTTGATACAAATAATATCATTGGATTGAAATTTAAATTTACTTTCATATGATTATTTTTTTCAACAAGCTTTATAGTATATGTGAAATTATAAGCTAAATAGTATTATTTCAAGAAAACCGTGCCTTATATGAGACAGAGAGAGTATAGGTGAAAATAATATCGGTAATTCAATAATATCGGTAATTCCTGACCGACAGACTATTACATAATATCTTTTACCATCTTTACCATCAAATCATGAAAAAATGGTTACTGACCAAAAAGAAATGAAAATTATCAGTGTTATGGATACCACATACCTGATAGTAGTTGACTAAATCTCGGCAGGACCCACTACATACCATGTCTTATACGGAAACAACCTTCAAATATAGAAGGAGTTCCGGATAAGGAAAGACAACTAGAGTTCTACATGGAAACGACAAGAACTACTCAAATTGTATCCATATTGATTTCCCTAGTTCTATTTAGACAAAGGGACATATATGGGTATAAATACAAGCCCCCCTAGGAGGAGAGGGGACAGGAAACAATAGATCAACATACAAGCCAACATACGCCAAGACAAGCTGCCGGATATCGACATCGGAGATAAGCCTAGTTAGTCCCCATACGGTTCCTACGACCACCGTCAGGAGGGATCTAGCGTTGTCTCTGATCTAACCGGACACGGATTCGAGGAGGAAGACTACTCTGTTGTCGACTACGGGATGGGTTTATGACCGCCAAGTCGACAACAGATAGATAGGTTACCCCAAATATTGTACTGGTGTGATTATGATGAATAAGAGCAACACCGGCTTCGGCCAACAGGATGTAGGGCTATTACCTGTAATAAGGGGCCCGAACCTGTATAAAAATCCTCATCCCCATCTCTTTTACCTCAATCTCGCATATATCCTAGTACCAACTGTCAGGGTTATGGATACCACATACCTAATAGTAGTTGACTAAATCTCGACAGGACCCACCACTTACCATGTCCTATACGAAAACAAACTGCAGATATAGGAGGAGTTCCAGATAAGGAAAGACAACAGAGTTCTACATGGAAACAACAAGTACTACTCGGATTGTATCCATATTGGTTTCCCTAGTTCTACTTGGACAAGGGGACACCTATGAGTATAAATACAAGGCCTTCTACGAGATAGGGGAGACAGACAATCAATACCCACCATAGAAGACACGAACAATAGATCAAGACAGAAGATCAACATACAAGCCAACATACGTCAAGACAAGATGCCAGATATTGACTTTAGAGATAGGCACGGCTAGTCCCCTACGGTGTCCCGGATACTATCAGGAGAGACGAAAGCGCTATCTCTGATCTCGCCGGGTACGAACTCGAGGAGGAAGACTACTCTGTTGTCGACTACGAGTCAGACCTTTAGACCGCCATGTCGACAACAGTTAGATAGGCTACCCCAAATATTGTACTGGTGTGATTATGGTGAATAAGAGCAATACCGGCTTCGGCCAACAGGATGTAGGGTTATTACCTAACAATTCAGGGGCCCGAACCTGTATAAAAATCCTCGTCTCTGTCTCTTTTACCTCAGTCTCGCGTATATCCTAGTACCAACGATCCCCATACTATGCAAATACCGGAATCGCGACATCAAACGTCGACACCAACGATCCCCATACTATGCAAATACCGTAGTCGTGACATCAAACGTCGACAAAAATGATAAAAAGATATGAAACAAAATGGAAATAATTTTGTTATTTTTACTGTCCATTTCCTTTGGTTTGCCGAGTTTTTAATTATTTTGGAAATTACTTTTTCACAGTGTGATAAATTGTCGTATTTATAAATACCCCTAGTAGGCTAGTACATGCGGCTCATGTCTCCATTTCTGATACTAATTTTTCCATCTTACTACTTTTATTATGTTTCAAAGAAAAAGTATGATCAAGGAAATGGTTCAGCTTGTTGTACATGTTCCGACCGATTCATCCCTAATACATTTACTCCTATATGTGAAAACACTCTCTTTTTTTCAAATGTTTTGGAAGACCTTTTTTTTTTTTGCAAATTTCAATGCGTTTTTTTAAATTATACAGTACAACACAAACACTCACAACGCACATACACTCACCCTCTATAAACGCACGTACGCAAACCCTACCCCTATGAGTACTCTTTGAAGATTGGACCGGCAAATCATGGGGATTAACGAAGTCACCACAGACGTCTCGCTGTCGATGGGTACGTTGTCTACCACCGAAAGAACAATACCGCTAAATCCTAAAAAATTAACTTTCATGGAGAGTCGAACCCAGAAATTAAGGTGCTACTGAGGCTATTATAACCACCAAATTACGTGTCCTTTCGTACGTACTATTTTTTAATATCGGGCAGCACGGTGGGACATGAGATTCTCTCCTACCTACGCCAACTTCTCGCCAAAATAAAACTGACGACACACACCAGCGTAGACAGTTGATTAGTTGACCCACATTAATTACTGTGCGAAGCTGGCGTCCGCACAAGAGTCCCACACTCCCATGCGCAGCCGACAAGAGGTACTCCCTCCGTCTCCGTTTCAGGTTAACGTTTTAACTTTGATCAAAGTTAAATTATTTTAAATTTAATTAAATTTATAGAAGAAATAGTAACATTTAATTATTAACTTGATGACACTAATTTAGTAAATATTACTATATTTATATATAAACTCAGTTAAATTTAAAATAGTTTGACTTTGATCAAAGTCAAAACGTCTTATAAGCTAAAAGGAGGAAGTAGTATATATTGGTATTGCTCTTCGCTTACTGCTATTTATGAAATTATCAGGTTTTAACGTTACCGAAATTTGGTAGAGGTAACTAACCAAACATAACTTTATCATTGCTATCGTATCAAATCAAACAAACATTGATAATTCCGAAAGTTCTCTAAAAAAAACTCTATTAAATTTTAGTAAGGCTTCAAACCAATCAAAACCAACGCTAACAAATTTTGGTAAGATTGATTTTAACAGTAAAGTGAACAAGCTCTACTAGTACTTTCTTCTCAATTCAC